ATTCCGCGATTGGAGCATTCAATTTTTCTCCGTTGCGGCAGTTCGAGGATCCAAACAAAGCGTGGAGTTCCGCGGGTCGCCTGATTGGCCTAGCTGTTGCCGTGCGTCGGTTTGACGGTTGGAGTCGCGACAACAGCTAGGCTAGAAAAACAAGACACCGCCAACGACTTTTGCTGCTGTTGTGAAACGGTGCCTAGAAAAAGTGTATTTTTCGCGGTTCTAACGGTTTGCGCTATCTCTTTGTTTGGATTCTCGAACAATGATTGTTCTTAGATCCTTCTTACTTTTCCTAAGCTCTTCCAGCGTATACTCAAACTCCCTTCCCCTCTTTTCTCGTCTCTTCCTTAATTTAGTCACCCTCCGTGCTAATTTATTGCGTCGACGCCAGATTTTTCCCACCTCGTCGTCCCACCAATATGCATTTACTCCTCGCTTACGCTTCCCACCTCTCATCCTTTTTAAGAACTTATCACAAATTTTCCCCACTAGGGTACTTATTTTTTCTTCTACTTGCTCCCAGGGTATTTCTTCCCCATACCAGGCCTTCAAACTCGGACTCAGGTAAACAACTGGCTATCGCATCTCATTCACACCGAAAATCTTAAGACTAGACTAAATATAATAAATTAGACAGGGACGTGGCGGCCGCTAAATCGACGCCACAGATATAAAGAATAGTATATTAACTAACAGATTACATCGGATATTATTTTCGTTAACACGTGCTCACTTGAACGAGGTTACGAGGACAATGGAAATGATAATCGTTACATATATCTAAAAAAAACACAAACAAGGTGTCGCCGCTGGACACAGGTAACCAGCGCGGCCTGTATACAAAAATTCAAATCGAATTCGCGCAAACACTTAACACTTTTTTTCTCCCAAGTCCCTTAAGGACCAGCCAATCCTCATTAAATTATCGCCTGCCCGGTTCCTATCTCGCGTAGCTTCTCTATATAATTCGTATAAAATATATTTGTGGTCACCACCAGTGACTTCTTCTTCTACCCTCCAGTTTTTAATATACCTAAACATACTACCGGAAACTAAAGTTATATCAATATTTGAGGTCCCTCTCCCCCCTCAAAGGTTGGTCGCCCCTTTTTATTTATACAGATTCTCACCGGTCAAACGGTATAAACAAGATAACGCGTGGTCCAAACGTCGAAAACAAGATAAGCCGAAAACGGTAACGCCATCAGGAGATAAGCAAGAGTATAAAAGAAGAAGCAGGCCGGCGCGCGCGACATTAACCATCGGACATTAATCATCAGGCAATAATAATATACACTCAAGATAGTCGGAGCTAAGGTTTCGGGTCGGATTGCGAGAACATTCGATTGTAACAAATTGCGCACATTGTAAAGTGTTGTAGTGATTAAGGAGTAAAATAAATATTTTGTTTTTTTAAAACACGAACTGATCTCTTTCCCGCGTAACATAAAATTGGTGGCAGCGGTGGGATCTGCTGAGATCGTTGCGGAGTCGACGTAGCTGCGGAGACAGCCAGTAGATCCTGAACCTACAACGGGAAGGAAGAAGAAGAAAAGGAAAAGAGAAAGAGCTCCTCAAGAAATATAAACAACAAAGAAGCATCAAGGAAGGCAGATCAAGGTAAGATGTCAGAAATGGAGGCAATTACTAAGATGCTTTCGGAAATCACGAGTCGATTGGAGAGATTAGAGACAAGGGGTGATAACCTACGGAGAGAGGACCCCCTTGCAAGATCCTCTAACTCGGTATTAACGAACGACGACGACTTTGAATCTTCTCCATACACGCTGAATGAATTATTAGGAACTGTTTCCGAATTCGACGGAGAATCTTTACCCGTTGAGACATTTATCTGCCAAGTAGAGACAGTCAAATATAACGTACAAAAAGAAAGATCGCAATTATTACTTGGGAGTATATTAGCACAGAAAATTATCGGGAAAGCTAGAACCGTAATACGTGCTGAAATGATAAGAACATTTGACGATTTGAAAAGCCAATTAAGACAAAATTACGGCTCTCCAACCGATTCGACACTGCTGCAATTGCAAAGAATTCAATGCAGACAGAATTTTAAAGAATCTGTAAACTCATACGTATCGCGATTCACGAGAATACATGACGCCGCTCTAAATGCCGCTCTAAGCAGACCTCTCCCTACTGAACAACGTGAATTATTATTTGAGGAAGAAAAGCAAAAAGGAATAATTGACTTTATAAATGGATTAGAAAGAGAAACGCGACTAGAAGTAAAAACGTCAAATCCACAATCTATTCAAGAAGCCATAAATGCAGCACGAATGTCAGAATTAATGCAGCAAAGAAACAATTTATTCAGACCGAATCCATTAAGGGCTCAGAATCATACGAACTTTAATACGTCAAGGTCACAACAAAATTTTAGAAATTTCAACACGCGAAAACCCCAGCAAAATTTCCAAAATCGTTCATATCCAGCCAGACCGCTAACACAAAATCAGGTAAAACAATGTAATTATTGCAAAAGGATAGGACACGACGAAGTTGAATGTAGAACAAAACGATTTCAAAATTTTCGAATACGTCAAGAATTCCCAGAAACCCCACCAGCACATGCTATATCGAACGACCAAGAACAAGACCCAGAGCCAAGAGACCCCCAAAACGAGGACCTCCAATAAATAATCAACGAACAATTACAAAAATTAACACGGCTTTCGGCAACCAATTGACATACGTCACTCTTCAACTCGATAACGTGAAAACTGGTAGATTTTTAGTAGACTCAGGCGCTGCAGTCTCATTATTGAGAGAATCTATGATTACTGACAAAAATAAAATAGTAAGGCAAAATACACGCGAAATAAGAACATTATCCCAACATACTTTTAAAACAGCAGGCGAATTCGGAACAAAATTATTGGGCAAAAATTTAAAATTTTTGGTAGTAAAAGATGAAATAATGCAAGAGGACGGATTACTTGGGATAGATTCATTAAGAACATTACATTGTACATGGGATATTTGTCGAGGACAGTTACAATTAGAAAATAGAGTATTCAAACGAAAAGATAATGCTGAGGAAACAACCATACCACCGAAAACGAGTAAATTACAGAAAATCAAGGTAACGAATATTCAAAACGGTGAAGCCAAAATAACCCTAGAGGACATAGACATGCTAGTTACGGTAAAGAATGGAATCACCCAGATACCCGTTAACAACTTGAGCGAAACGGCGACAAAAACAATAAAAACGACAGAAGTATTAGGTCGAAAAATTGAGACATCGGATTTTCCCAAGAGCCCCAAATCATTGACTAAAGAACGCGAAGAATTTTTGAAACAGAACACACGTTTGGATCATATTAAAGATGGAAAAGATCAAATATGGGAAATAATAAAAAGGTATCACGAAATTTTTGTATTGCCAGGAGACCCTATTCCATTAACCAATTTAGCTGAACATTCTATAGAATTGACAGACCCAACTCCGATCCATACGAGACAATACAGATTCCCTCCGATTCATCAGGAAGAAATCGCAAATCAAGTAAAGAAAATGCTAGAGGAAGGAATAATCAGAGAAAGTAATTCTCCGTTTAATTCACCACTTTGGATAGTACCCAAAAAACCAGATGCATCAGGGAAAAAGAAATGGAGATTGGTTATA